TGCACACTAGTCCCTGACTATGTGTTCAGTAAAAAAAAAGGCAAAGCAGCATTGAAATTCCTTTCAAATGTCACTGGTGCTGTTATACTTAAAACAGGAGAGAGATCTGAGCTGTTTGTAATAGAACACATGTTAAACCTGAGGAGTACTGTGCAGCCTTCCTGCTGTACATTAACTGGGTGACAGACAGATGAACATGGTGTGGAGCACACAGCATATCAGCCTTGCACCTTGAGTCTGTCTTATTGCTAAGGGAAAACCTGCTGGAATACATAGAAGACTTAAGAATATGAAGATATAACTGGCCACGTGTCTTGCTGATGCTTTAGCTAACAGGAACCATGCAGCTAACAGGAGCTGCTGTTTGGAAATGTATCCCTAAAGCACTGTGGTCCGTCCCAGCTGAGGCTGCTTGAAGAGAAAGCTGAGATGAATTGCGTAGCTCTTCAACTACAGTCTAAGAACTGATTGCTACTTCCATGGTATAAACATACAAGTAAGTACAGACTATTCTGGGTCATTTTTAGTGACGGTGAGCTAGGGAGCTTTCACAGTGCTCTCTGAGAAATTGCTTTCTCTGCTCAGCACCCTGTTTGCTCCTCATGCAGTGATCTTGCGTCAGGCACACTGAGCTGGCCATGCTTTTACCTCAGAGGCAGCTACTTAAACAACAGGACTTGCACTTCTTGTTAAGTAAGACATCATTTGCCCTGCAAACATAAACAGATGCTACTACTGCCAGTCCCTGCAGAGAGCTCAATGTTGCACTTTCCCCACTTTTCCTAGTGCTGCCTGCACAATTGATGGCTGTTCAACTCATGGCACACAACTTCACCAGCTTGCACAGGGTTTGCACACCGACGTGTGCACGAGGGCATGGCTGTGACCATCACACCGAGCAGGCTGCAGCGGGTGCAGTAAGAAGCTTGAGCCCTCACAAAGGAGGCCTCTATTACTTTCCCATATCAGGCACTAACAACCAACATGAAATCAGCCTGCAAAGCCTTGCAGTTCAGAGGCAGATGACCAAACACTAATCACGTGGCTGCCAGCAGCTAACATTAGCCAGGGAAAAGGACCTTAAGTGACTGCAACTTCTGTGCTATCACAGAAGACTTCAATAAGAGCTCAGCTGGGACACAGAGAGAGAATTTGGGGATGGAAAAAAAAAGAGAAAGAAAGAAAGAGAAAGCTAATTTGGCAGTATCTGTGCCCCACAGGCTGCCTTGGAAAACCCCTGAATTCTGCGCTGTGGTGTCTGAGCTCAGAGACATTACCACTGTTCGAAGCAAAAACCCTTGCTGGAGCACAGCCTGTTTGCTGTTACTCCTGCTGGGTATTATGGCAGGGTTCCCTTGAGTAGCTTGCTCCTCACATAGCCTGCCCCTGTACACACAGCTCATGAGTAAGGGGGTGCTCTCCCCTGACAGAGCAAACCTTTGCTGCAACAGAGAAATGCAGTAATTTAGCATTTTGGTATTTCTGCACTGTACTAGGTCTGACACATCCCACAACCAAAGGGATATGTGCTACAAATGCACTGCTTTTCTCTCATGAGTCTGTCTTTGCTTAGTTTACAATTGTGCAATGATCACAGGGCTGATCTGCAGGATCATCTAAACAGGTCTAGCATCGAACCAAAATGTTTAGTGCTTCAATAACCTTATCTGGCAATGGCAGCAAGACTGGCTTATGGAAAGAAGTATTTTTTCCCAAAGTGCCTTATGGCAATGAAGTAACAAATAATGGCAAACAGCATAATGTACACTTTTTAAGCTGCAAGTAAACTACGAAGGATGCCTTATTTTCTAGTATCAGAATAGTCCCTTAATTGTGTGGGCAAAATTCTACAGCTGAGTCCCTTCCCTCTGCTATACAAATTTTACATTCAGTACACAGTCACAAAACAGGGCTGTTGGAAGGAATCACTGCTTACTTACAACCAAAACCACATCAACATGTCTACTCACATCAGCTCTCTTACATATTGTGAGACTAATAGCTTCTACTTACAGCCTTTAAATAAAACAGCTTGTCTGTGTGTTTTCCACTAAGCAATACAACTAATTCCCATTATTTGAAGAAGCAGTTTTAATACCCATCTGATGGCAGTACTCTACAGCCACGAGGCAGTGCTCTACAAAACACATGTACATGCTCCCCAGTTAGCCTGGGAAGGCTCAAGTGCAGCCTTTCAGATCCCATGAAGATTTAAACAAAACCCTGAGTTATGTTTCTTAACAAAACTATGCCTTTTTTTTCTACTCTGACCCAATACTGTCACTATCAACAATAGTGAAAAAGTGCTTCTGTTGCAGTAGTAGGTTTACAGTACTTCTTGTGCAGGCATGGCCAGTCTGTAGAAGGAGGTAGGACACTTTTCTTCCAATTCTATGAAAACGCATGTCTTCAATGATTGGAAGGCTTCCCAGGGTTTTACATTGGGAAGGTACTTCCCTGTATGGCTGCTGCTTGTACTTAAAGCCTCACTATTATCTTTTCCAGTGGTTAGTGGACTTCCTTTATCTTTACATCTTCTGGAATCCTTCTATAGATCATCCACTGGAAAAATCATTCACATAACATGTCTAAGTATTTGATTTGATTTGATCTCTTATCAGCCTAGAAGCCTCTTTCCCACTTTCCCTCTGATCCCAAAGAACAAGATGTTACCAATGATCATGCCACTAGTCTGACTGTCATTTGTTGAAGTAGAGCCCTTGAATAAAAACACAGCTATCAACAATGGCCATGGGAGCACACCTGGCAGCAACAGAGGCACACTGGAAGTCCAGTTCCTTAGAACCTATGTCACATGTTAACTTGAGTCATACGAACACCTATTGAGTTTGTGTGCTGAAGCATTTGCAGGCTCAGGCCTTTGAACCAAACTGAATCTCTAGAGCTCATGTGTCTATTTTTCTGCCCACTGTTGACAAGCAATCCTAAGAATCTGTCACTAGCAGGCAAAAATAGAAACAGGACAGGAAAAGCTATGGACCTCAGAAGTGTTTCTGGAATTACAGTGCGGATAAATCTCTCATGATGAGCTTATGAAAGAACTGCCCTTGAAAGTACTATGGAGAACTTTTGGAAAAAATCCTATAAAGTCATAAAACAAAAGCCTATTGCAGTAATTAAAAATTACTCTGCAGAAGATGGTGATGGTAATGTGAAAAGCTCATGATCTATCATAATTTGCCCAGGGGGATTAAGAAAATAGTTGATTCAGAGAATGCTCTGAGACTGAAATTGTGTTCTCACAACAATTTATAAAGAGGAAAGCTTTCCCCTTTGTGGGTCTGTAACAGACTTCAGGGTAGGCTCCAGCTGTAGAGAACATAACCTTGGCCTTGCACAGTACACAATAAAGAACTTCAGGGTGTCTGATGGTAGATAACATGTGAGCCATGGAAAGTCTCCAGACAATGGCCAGTTCAGTGGAGACGTAAGTCTGTCTCTGCTTCACAAAATAGGAAATACAAGTCAGAGCCAGAGCTGTTGGTCTCCAAGCCACAGGAAAAGAGTTGAAAGCTTCAGTCTAGGAAATTAAACGACACAAGAGATGCCACATTGGCTCATGCAGTTCTGCCTTTGATGGTGACCAGTTGTAGCTGTTTAGGGAAAAAGCACAGGAAACAAATAGCAGAAGCAATCTAATTCAGCCATGGATGGATTGAGTCACTTCATTTTCAACTGTGAAGTAAGACACAGAGTACTGTATTCCACATTCCTAGGCTGTGGCAAGGGGGTGGGGATGGTTACAAATACTCCAGGCTTGTGTACTGTAAGGTTTCCTTTGACAGAAATTAGTTTCCTCTCATGCATATGCCATGTGCAACCTGGTGAAAAAGGTTCTATACTAAGATGAAAGGGAGAGAGAAATTCTGTCAGCCCTCCATTACTCAACAGTAAATTTGTCAATGCAGGAAGAAGAGCTGCAAAGCAGCCAGCTACCCCATGGGAAGTATGCAACACTGGGGATAAAGAGAAAGCCTGTCTGGGGTATGAACAGATTCAATTTTAGGACTCTGACCACTGTATACTGAAACAATTGCTGCATTTCCAATTTACTTTTCTAGTGTGACAAAGGATTTTTTTCTGTGAGAAACTTATTTTCTAAGTTCTTCACTTTTGTCCTGTTAGTGCAGGTACTAAGAAGATGCCATAGCCCCAAACTCTAACACAATCCATCCTATGTGGAAACAGATGTATTTACCCTGGTCTTTTGCTCCACTATTTGCTATGATCTCCACCAGATGCATGAGTTTTCTTCCACAAGTGCCTGTTTGTTGCTGAGAAGACTTCTGCAGAAACCATGTTCTTGGGGAACATGCACTATATGTATGTGTGCAAGCTGGTCATTTTGCAATGCTGCAGGCTCAGCAAAATTCCTCACTGAATGTCATCCCCATGCAACTCCTCCCAGCACAGACAAGGATTTAGATCCTTTTGTCAGTGTCAGCACTGCCCTTTTTAGTTAATTTTGAGAGTAAACAAAATCAACAAGCAGGAAAGTGCTCCCACATGAAAAAAACAGTGCCAAGAGAGGCAGAAGGGAACAGCTACTGCAGGTTCAACACGTGCTGCCTTTCCCACCATTCACAGTAGATGAAGGACACCTGTGGATAGGCTGCCATCCCACTGCATGTGATGCAAATGCAGTTCCAGAAGATTTGTTCATTATAAAAAGAGAGAGAGACAAAAAGAAAAGCAGATCTCTGGTATCTTCTTGCTTGTGGAGGCTGATTTGAAATGATAAGCAGCGAAAACTGAATGAAGTAATTCCAGCCTTTAAGATATCTAGCCTGAGTTAACGACAGCTGATTTTCTTAGCACTCCAGTACTATGATGGCATTCCTTCCTCCACGTAAAAGCAACAGAGCTTCATAAGAAAAGACAACTCACCTTTCTTGAACTGCTAGTGCTTTTAGCATTAGGAAGGGAAGACAATTTTCTGGTTGAGATGAAAGCCAGAGAGTTGAGCAAAGGTTTCTTACCGTTAAGGACAATGCCATGCAAACAAAAGTGAACTTCTTGATATGTGTCGCTGTGACGGTGCTGTTGGTGTTCACCAATTTATTGCTGGGGTTATTCTAGGGGAAGAGAAAGAGATAGCAAGCATTAGCTTGGCTCCAGACTACTGGGACGCTGACAGCACCAGGGTCATTTGTTGGACCTGACTGTCTGAGCCTGTCCATGTCTGACTTTGCTTGTTTGCTTTACAACCTAGAGCTTTCTGAGTACTTTGTACCACCATAGAACATTTTCCACTTAAACTGACAGCAACTGCTGCTATGGTCACTGAGGCCTGAGTAATCTCCCTACTTTTCTAAGGAATAAGCCCTATTCAACAAATTCAGCTTTGAAAAAGGGTGATAGCTCTTTCCAAGGAAACTCCACATGATTTTTTTTAACCTTAAAGTTTGTAGCATGTTTCCACAGGAAAAATAGGATTTCATACCCTTTTACCACAAATTGGTACCAATTCACCAATGCAAGCATCCTTACTGATCCAATTAGACAAGTAGGTAATATAAACAAAGTTTCTTGAACAGCTGGCTCCATTAATGCAGTTTAATGAACAGGACATAATTAGGACTATTAGATGTTCCACCTTGAACATGGGCTCTGTACTCACATGGCAGCGAAGTGTTACTTAAATCAACAACAAAAGACCTCTTCCAAATGTCTAATATAGCAAATGAAGCTGAAGATTTAAAATTTCCCTTGGGGAACACATAAAAACAAGCTAAATGGTCTGTGGAAGGAGAGAGTGGGATATCAAAGCAGGGTACCATTAGGAGCCCTGTAGGAAGAGACTCTTGGGTCATCTATTGCAGTTACTCTGGGGCTTTTAGAGATACTAGTTTGTGTACCCACTGATAAAACCTGAGATGTAATACTACATTTATATATCCTTGATGTAACTCAGGTAGAACAGCAGTATCTGTCATATGGTCAGCTCCTTTAATGAGTTACTTGTAAGAGAAATAGAACTGTTGCAAACACATCTTGGGAGGGGACAAACTAAGCAGGAGCTCTGTGAAGAGTATACCATTTCACACACATTAAAGTGTTTGATGGAATTTTGCAATTTAAGGCTTTTGTTCTGATCAGTGCAGCAACTGCACCTGAAAGGCCTCACACTCCTGCCTAAGTATCCACTTGAAGCTTGGGTGCATGAAGATACATGTAGGCAACCAACACCCTAAAGCAGGAAGCCACTCCCATGTCTGCCCTTTGTGGGAACAGGCTATGAAAACTCTCTCTAAAACATTTTTTCACTGTGTCAGCATCTGAAAATCACAATGGAGGATTTAGAGGGTCCAGAAATAAAAAGTGCTTCTATCTGGACTCTTCTGAGAAAGCCATAGCTTAAGGACACAAAGTTTTGAAAGGCACAGTGACACATGGATGACATGTGACTGAGGGAAAAGAAATTTGCACAGCAATTAAACACTGTGGGTTTTGGGTTTGGTATTTATTGTCTGAAAGGTACAATGGAGGCATTTGCATACATGGTTGCCAGGATGAGATAACCTTTATACTGCTGCTACCTCACTTTGTACATTTTATGTCAAATTGCTTGTTAAATATGGGACTAAAATTCCCATTACATACTTTTCCAGCAGTTAGATAAACTGTACCCATCTTTGCCTAACCCTAGCATTTTCTTCCTCACATTTTTCCACAAGAGCCCTATGAGAAGCCTTTTAACTTAAATAAACAAAGACACAAATCATGATCTAATCCTGTCACCACTACAGTTGTCAGCATATCTTTCACCAGCTACATGAGACCTGAATTTAGGAGTCTTAATTGCTGTTACTATTGTTTGGTAATAGTACATTTGATTCTGGCTCATATCAAATGAGGTTAGCAGTCCCTGTGTTTCCTGTCCCAAACTATTTTTATCTTGCAGTTTATTGGGTTTGCATCTGCAGTTCCTTTTCAGCAGCATGACCTTTGACAAAGCCTGCATGTGGTATTTTATCTGACAGGTCAATTTAGCTGTACACAAGCAGGTTAGGAGGTTATGACTGATCTGCCTTTGTTTTGGTTTTAAATTCTCCTTGGAAATATGGTAGACCATATCAAACAGGGCTTGCTTCAGTTAAATACATCCCAGAGCAAGCAAACATATTTTTCATGAGTATTGGGAACCAGAAAGTTCAGTTACTAATCCATAAATAAAGGGAACGAGAGGATCTGGCATTTGAATTCCAGAGTCACATGATACGACTGTTCTTCACACAACAAATGGGCTAGTGAGTACCAGAGCAAAAAAAGAGACTAAACAAAATTATTTTTTGTTACATATTTACTCTGTGCTCAGTCCCAGGAGTAGTCCTTGCATTCATACATAATTACATGATTTACCCACAAAAATCTTCATAGCCTTAGTTAGTTAAGTCAATACTACTAAAAGAATGGATGCTATCTGTGTTACTGTCATTCTGTTAAACAATCATAACATTAACATGAGCAAATGAACCCAAACTCACTTGAGAGATACCACAAAATCTGGTGCAGAGACGTGAGCTTCCTCACTCAGTGACAGACATTTCGTGAGAAATCACTACATTAGCTAAGTAGCTACATCATAGTAAATGAGGACTTTTAAAAATCCATAAAAATACAGCACCTATCTATTCAAAAGGCAGCTTAATACCTTGTAACACACAGCTGAGGTTAAAATCATGAATCAGACAATAGCTTGAAGCCACCAAAAGGCAATTCATTTTAACTAGGATTTAAGAAAACCTTATCAGTGGGATAACAAACAGAGAGAACGAGGAGGACCACACATGCAAAACTACACAAAAGGTATTTATTGCACTCCTAACATGGGTACTCACCTTGTCAAAAGCAGGGTATACTGCTCTGATCTCTGTGAGCCAGCCATATGGCATGTGTCCCACAGGATATGTAGCTGTCAGAATCGCCACTGCCTACGAAAAGAGAGAAACATGAACTTCAAATCTGTAGACTAACATAGGGTGCCATTTCTCACCAATATCACCACATTGACCTTGACACAGTGAGAAACCAGACAGGATATGGAAGCTCTTTGTCTCAGGAAGACTGTCAGAATGGCCATCACTGGGCCTGGCATTTTAACCTTCTGATATCTTTCATGCCACAAAGCTACCTAACTCAGCCTTGTCATTTTACCACCACTCTGATACTGTGGGATAACAGATAATTTGAGCAGTGGTGTTGCCCCTCAGCCAGCCAAACACCTCCTTCCCACATTGTTCCTGAGTTATTCTACCTACAGATATCTAATAGGTAGAATGCCTTATAGCTCACGGTAGCTTTGGATCATATTTCATAATTTAAATTCATATGTACTTGTTTATTTGTATATAAACCAGTTTTAACTAAGGGAGACAGACTGTAAATCAGTGGGCCTCAGTGGCTGGCTGACTTTGGACATCAATCTGACTGCTCCAGGGCAGGAGGAACTTATAAGACAAAACCCCCACCTCTCCCCACTTTGGTGCTCATCAATGAACACCAGACAAAAATAATTCAGGATGAACATTTTTATCATGAGAAACAACTCACTGCCTGAAATTTAAAACTAGGCCCTTTTGTACTTTCACAAGTACAGTGCAAGAGGTACGTCAAGGCCATAAACTCCCCTACATACTAATGGATGAAAGATTTTGGTGATGTTTCTGATGCTTCATGTAGGAAGGGCGTTTAGGGAGCTTTTCCTGTGGTTGCTTGTAAGTCTACTGTCATTCCAAGTTTTCTAGTCCCCTGGGCTGAGGTATATGCATCTGCACCAAGAACTATCCAACTCTCTCAGTTCTAGAAATCAAAGTGCCTTTTGATTTCTGCCTTTTGTGTGCACATTCAGATCTGTTACAATCCACCTAAATTCATACTCATTTTACATCTGGCAATGGCAGGATTAAGAAAGACCTTTTTAACTACTGTTGTCTCTGTTTCACTCCTAAAACCTTTTAATGTAGATTTTCTTGGTTATCTGAGCCCATTTTCCCATTATAAATGTAACTGCTGTCTGTGTTTGGTTAAAAAATCTATACAAACACAGAACCATGTAGCAAGTGAATTTGTTCCCTGTGTTGTTTAAAAGGAGAGGGGAAAGTAGTGATATGCACAGAGATGAAGAGAATGAGATATATTCTTCCCTGCTAACAACAGATTTAATAATATTTAATGTACCCTGGAAAATTAATTTGTTCAAATAAAACAAATTGGAATTTTCAGACAGTACCCTTTCAAATTGCACACCCTCCCATTACTGTATTTTCAGCAGAATTTCCATTAGTATGAAACCTACCTAGGTTAAATCAAATAAGGAATATAAAACATATTTTGTTTATTTTCATCATGAAGTCCAAAAAGACTGCAAAGACATGGTAACTGATAATGAAAACAGTATTTCACTACCACATCTTGTATGCTAGATTCCATTTGCATTATTGAAGTCTTTAGCAGTGATTTTTTCCGCTAGTATTTTTCCTCATTTGGTGTGATCCCAAAATAAATGCATGAAAGCTTTCCTAAATGTCTAGAACCTGTATTTGAGAGCTGAAAAAGACTCCCATCAAAGCCAAGGCCAAAGAGGTAGCCCAATCACCATAACTATGCTGGCAAACAAAAGCAATAGGAGCTGGACAATGCAAGTGGACCTGCAGTTCTCATGAACATGTTACAGCCTAGTCCTTCACAGGGACATCCTGCCCAGACTGAGAGTTGCCAATATTATTGAACAGGGGGCCTATAAAACCCCTGTATATAGTGATGCTCCAGACACTGATGTTATGTGTGTTGCCAGCACCTCTGTTTTCAGAGGCAATTATTTCAGAAATCAGAGAAAGCTGAAATGTGGTCATTACTGTTAGTGTAAAACTGCCAGCAAACCACCAGCTATGACATGTATTTGAAGTCATTATACTAGCAACAAAATGCAACTGGCTAGCCATGAAATGTGATGCATTTGAAATCGCAAGTCACCACAAAATGCAAAGCTGATCTCTGCTAACCCACTCTGGCTCCCCTTGTACTGAGGCTGATCCCTGATGGACACATGTAAAAGCATTGCATTTCCTCTCTCCACAGCTATTTATTTGTAGTCTCTGGCAGCTCCTGAGTGAGTGAAATACACAGTATCATGTATGCCAAATTAGCATCAGTTCTTTGAATTTTCCTTTCTGTTTAGTATCTTACAGCTTTGCTTTGCCTATAGAAAAAAACATGAGAGATTTGCTAATGACTACGTGCATCTAGACATCCTCCCACTGAAACTGGCAGCAAAGGTCCAGCAGACTTCTTAAGAGAATGGGTCAGCTCATGGTGAGCATTGGTGAAGGCTCTGCATTACAATAAGTCTGGCTCCCAACAGCTGTAGGAGAATTACTGGAGTAATCTGGAATTCCTCAAGAGAAACAGGGTGCATTTCATATCCCAACCAGGAGACAGACTTTTTTTAACGTGCTTTCTTATGTCCCTACACTGTTTTATGTGATGCACCGACTGCTAACAGCAGTTTCACATCAGTTTGCATAGCCATAAAATATTCATGACAGGAAAGAGCAGAACATGAGACTACTGACACCTGTCCTAAAATCTCTAGGATCTGAATGCTCTAAAGTGTATGTACCTATATGCAGAGCATGAAAACCTGTTCACTGAACGCAGGAAGTGTTCAGTGATAAAATTCTACTGGTCTTGTTGAGGGTGAGGACCCACTAGACCTGGCAGAAAGGCTGATGGTGAGAGTCCAAGCAGTCTTCTTTTCAAGCATAAAAAGAGCACTAAACAGAAGTGTACTTAAGACAATTTTTTCTTATCAGTATGGCTAAGAAGAGAAACACAGAGGTAATGCCGTGGAAATGATCATTTGCAGTAATGGAGTGCACTGACTTTCTTACCTCTGTGGCTGCAGAACTGCCACCTAGGTCACGGGAGACAAAAAGGTTGACAATGGGTCTACTTATTCTCTGAGTTGCCAAAATTAATGCCAAAGGCCACCAGAAACTCAACATCTTCCTTATTGTAGCTTCTCCCTGCAACACAGGGTAAAAAAAAAGAAGTGGGTTTGGAAAAAACATGCCGAACTGGACCAAAAGCACAGAGAAAGGATTCTTTCTTTTCCCACCCATTGTCAGTTTGGTACATTCATCTCAGTAATTTTCAATATGAGGAGCCTAAAATATTTTCAGTCATGTTAGCAATACCGATTCAAAAGAAGATGTGTCATGGATCTCAATAAATAATGCATAAGGTATCTATCTGCATAATTTGTTCTGACTATCAGACAAAGCTACATGAAAACCAATATGATGTGAGGAAAAATAAATTTTGAGATCTTCTTGTATGTGAACTAAGGTGTTCAGTTAGTTCATGCTGTGCTGTCTTACAGCTCAGTACAAAGGTGCTCAGTAGACAGCACATCCATACCATGGAATGCATTGTCTCGTGCACTGTCGCTGGAATAGTTTCCCCCATGCCTCTTTATTTGAAAATCTTTTTTCCTGCAGGACAGAGAAGGCCCTTCATGCACAATAGTTTAGTACAATATTGTAACACAAAAAGTTGGAAAAAGCAGAAGTATTAAGACATACCCCCATTTCAGGCCCACTTCTATCAGGAATAGCATCATGTATGTTCCTGTAGTATCCGAGGCATAATGTGGTACATCGGACAAGGGCTCCCATGTATAAGGACAAGATTGGGATCAAGAGAGGCTCCCTGCACTCCAAGTGACTGTGAAGCAAAATGGCTACAAAAACAACCTGCAGAGCAAACAAATAAATGATTAAAATTTTCCCTGTGTGTTTCTTGAGGACCAACACTTCTCCTCTCTAATTCCTAGGCGGTCCATCTGAACGAACCACGCACGACTACAGTATCTATCTGACTTTGAGCTTGTGGCATAAGAAACATTGGTCAGGACCAGCCCCAGCATTCAGTCATACACATGAGAAGAACAAGAGTTAATTTCACACTCTATTAAAACAGTACTTGAAGCTTGGGCAGGTGTCAGACTAGGAGCCATAAATAGGAGAAGGTTAGCATGAAAGTCTGGCAAGGCCTGGCAGCAAGCATGTGGCTCAGTGTCACTCTTCCCAGGAGAATGTGCTATTCTGATATACACTGAGCTGGAGACATGCTTCTAGGGTCAGCTTCTAAGCTCTACTATTTTTTTTTTTTTTCAGGGAGCAGGCAGGAAGGGTAGTGGCAATTAAAAAGCCAGATGTTTTAAAGCATTCATTTCAACATTTAAGAGCAGGAAGTCTTATGTCAACCTAATTTTCTACTTTTTCAAGTGAAATTTCAGTATTTCAATATTCTCTCTTCATCTGAGTGCCACACTGATGCAAATGAAATGGAAACCTTTGGACTAATGAACAGCTCATAATTCTCTTTTGAGATTAAATGCTTAATCCATAAAATGCAAAGGAATTGATTAGAATTATACCATCCTCTTTGTTAAGTACAGAGTGGATGGTGTGCCTGTTAAATTCCAAATGCCTCTAGATGGGGGGCACAACTGGAAAGTCAACTCTGTTTGGTGCTATGAAGAGCAGAATCAAGACAAGCCTGCCAACAGAGGCTGACATTCAAGAAATACGAAACACATTATTCAGATGCAGGTTCTCTCCTTCATTGCTGGAGCTCGAGAAGTAGTTAAACAAAAACTTTGCAAATGTTTCTGAGGCAGGCCACATTGCTTTTGAGGGTTTGCAAAAGTATTCTTTTGAAACCTACAAACCCCATTGTTTCTCAGTAAACAGAAGCAGTCAAAGAGAGTGTGTATATGAAGCTACCCAAGGAGAACCGGCTACTGCCTGTGCACCTATTGCTTGCGTATGGAGCCAGTGTAGATGTGGAAAGCCCTGGGGTATGAAGAGTCACAACTCTTTGACATCCTGATTTGCCTGTGCTCTGTGCAATATTTTGTTGAGACAAGATGACAGGTGTCCTATTCTTGACAACCCTGGCACCCCACTCACCAACCACTGTGGAAAGGGCATGGCCAAAATAAGAATTTGTTTCTGTATTTAGCTGTGCATGACCTCACATGCACCTAGGGTCCACAAACTTTGTAGGTCACATCACAAGAGCAGACTCTGAGGGTTAAGGTCATTTACAGTAATTGGTATTATATTCAGGGATTTAGTGCAGTACTGTAGAGGGGCAAACCTGGCAAAGAGAGTAGCAGCTGACTGACTGGTTCAATTTGGTTTATGGTTTCCTCATATTTAGAGGGAGGAAAATAAAACTAAGTGCTCTTGACTTCGTATTTCCTTTGATGTTGTATTGTTTCATCCTCTTTCTTCCAGTCATTACACCATTCAGCTGGTAATGGGGCAGTACAGCAACTGTTTTACAGGTGCTGGGACTCTCAATTTCATAATATTTTTATATGTGCTTTCAAAAGAGGGCTGTATATTGTTTCTCAAATGCTACAACACTGGCCATCAGGGGTGTATTTGAATGCTGTCTTTTTCAGTGTGCCTAGTAAAAAGCAACAGGATAGTTAACAGCTTCCTCACAAACGAAAGTTCAAAAAACATTTGGTCTTCTCAGCATCACCCAGGGGCTATCAATACAGACCTCTTCTACTGCATCTGTGAGCCTTCACCATTTGGAACAGTAATGAGAACAGTGCTACCCCAGAAGATGGCTTACACTACTGCATTTTGCTGGTTTAGGCAGCATGTACAAAACTGACAGGTGAACCGCAGAATCAACTCTTCACCTCCCCACTCAGGATTTCAGTGCTACTGTGTGAAGCATGGGGGAGAATGTACAGGGGAAAGAAAGGTCTCTTTCAAAGCACTCTGTGAGACTCAGGACTGGTAGCAATCAGGGATCTCTCTGCCTGACCGTTCTTTTTCCCAGAAGTACATGTGTACATGTATAACTTGTTTCTCAGCCATTCTGAAATGGAGCTGCGGAGGTGCTGGAGGACATGGCCCTAACCCTCAGCCATTCTGAAACGGAGCTACGGAGGTGCTGGAGGACATGGCCCTAACCCAAACAATCTTGGTTCCCTTCTCTTAACATTGGTTTGGGACTGACTTGATCCAGTCAAGTGAGACCATCCTAAACCACAACTGTCAGCAAACAGCCTCCACATTATGGGGGAACAGGCAATGAACAGCACGGAACTTCCTCCGGTGGATTGCTCATGGAAGAGAAAGAAGGCACAGAGAGAGACTCTGTGCAAGAGAATTCCTGTTTAGGAAAGCATCTGGTCCATAACACAATGGGAACAGTGACTGTCAGGAGGAGCCTTTACCTGAGCTATGACATCTGAGATGGAGGCACATCCCACTAGGAAACTGTACTTGTGTTTCAGCAGAATCCCAGCATGGGTCCATGCCTAAAAAAAGAGAAAAGTTTGGGAAGTGATTATGATCTTGTGAATGATTTCAGGTCCCACAATGCTGTTCTCTGGTTGATACATTGTAAACAAGCAACCAGCAAAACTCACAAAGTACCTGGTGTGAACCTGGGCAAATGTTAAGCCAATAGTGCAGAGAAAGCACTGCTGCAATCAGTCTCTAATTGTCACGGTTGATAGGGAGAATAGGAACAGTCTTACAGACTGTACAGGAAATTCTGAGCAGAAACTGCCCCTTCATAAATCAGATGCTGCACAGGATGGATTATCATAATAAATAATCCAAGGAAAAAAATGTGCATTCCCACTCCCCAGCTGGATGCTCCTCTGAAGTGTAATATTCATTGGCCCACTGAGTGATACCGAGTCCTATCTGGAAAAAGAAAACGATCCAACTTGTTTTTATTGTCAGTTACTGTTTCAAGCAAAGTGGTAGAGAAAGTGGTACAGGCATGAGAAGGTTATCCTTTACCAGTTTTACACAAAAGTAAAGGCATTAAAGAGAGTTGCCATATTTTTATGTTGTGCAGGCCACAAACAGTGATCTGGGAAGCAGCAGCCCACCCCATGTGTGGCTCTCTTTCCCAGACATTTGAGATATACTGAACCTAGCTCTGCTTGCAAAAACTGATGGTAAGAAGTATCTTTTCAATAAATTTCCTTTGAGAAGTGCTTGCACAAACGGATGGTAAGAAATATCTTTTCAATAAATTTCCTTTGAGAAAATATCGAGCTTATTCCTCGTGAACTCTGCAAGTGATCTGGGAGTGTATGGCAAATCCAAATCTTTCACTACAAGATTGGAAAGAGAGGACACATAGAGGCAACCAGTGCAGCTCGTCACAACACGATCAGTGCTTTCCAACATACATATACAGTAACTCTAACAAGGCAGCTGACGTTTTTTACATCTGTCAGGATCTCTGGATGTTCAAAGTCCACCCAGATGCTTTTTCCATGTAGCAGGAGATGAGTCCAGGTATATCCAGAGCTGCTGCTTCCAGAGGACACACTTTCCTTCTACATGCCTCCAATTTCCCATCAGGTAATAAACTTTGTGAACTAAGGTCACAAAAAAATTACATTATTACTAAAATTCAGTTCTGAATCAGGCACTCACCATGGCATCCATAAAAGGGAAGGCAGCAAGATAAAGGAAGGCCCTCCGAGTTTTACTTCCCACTGATTCATCCACATGGTGCAGCTTATTAATAATGTAATACCCCAAATCGCTATATGCTGTAGGGACACAAGAAAAGGAATGAAAAATGAAGGTTACATATGGACTCTGGGTGAGATACTCAGAAGTACATGGAAGTCTGTGATGCTTTTGGAGTTCAGACACACATCCACTTAGCGAACAGCTGCAAGGGCTTCAGCATATTGCAGCCTCACCAGCTGCTGTTTATGACTAAGGAGTGCTCTTGTGGTTCTTTTTCAAGTAACCTTTGGCAGAGGAGTGATAACAAATGGCTGTACTGGGAGATGGGTATAGTAAGTGCCACATCTGTTTGCTAAATGAACACACTGGTACTTCAGAGAATCTACTGCTCCTTTGTTAAATCAAGGCTCTTTGTTAGAAAAGCTGTTTTCACCAAGTACTGTGTGTTTCATGGGATATATTACCTTATAAATGCTGAAACCATCTATTATCACTGGATTCTCATGACATTACCTGTAAACCTGCCCAAAGCTGTAAAAGGATACTATGAATTGTGAAGGCATGCAACAAATCACAGTCATTACGCCTCTCCCTTACTCTGCCTGATGATCACCTCTACTGGGACTTGTTAGGGCACTGTGCACTTTGCTGTGCACTCTCTGGGCAACCTCAACCAGCTTTAGTTTCCTTCCTTATCTAGAGCTGGCACCTCAGGAGCCACAAGTCAGAAAAGGGCACCGTTGGAAATTGAGGAAATTCTGTTCACCAGTGTGTTATTTTGCTGTCCTGCTTGAACCCCAGACAAGAACTTTTAGTGTCAGGCAACACACCTCTTGCCAGGTCTCGCTTCTCAAGGTTCTGTGTTGAAGACAGCACAGACACAGGGACTCACAGCACAGCTCTCTAAAGAACTGCTTATGGTTCTGTTAGTACCCATGTTATCCAGCTGTTTTAATAACCTGAGTCCTCTCTGTGACTAGGAATAACACAGAGCTAGCTGTGATTGGAGTCTCTGAATTATGGGAACATATATAATATGCACAGTTAAATAATCCAGATAATTTTTAACCTTTTACAAACTATGTCCTAGACCTGCATATCATCAGTTAGTTTCCTCTATACACCTGTAATAGCGGTTAAATGAATTATTAGGCTGTAAAGTCAACCTCCCAACATAAGTAATGGCAGAATGACTTGTGCCTGGGGAACCTTACCTCAGTTCTCTACCACTTGTGTCTTTCTAAGATAATTATTTTGAATGTGAACATGTATCTGATTTTCCATTTATAACAACTCTATTATCTTTGTACAAACCTTCATATTGGCTATTTAGGCAAGCTATCCTTTTCATGCATGCATAACTGGACTGACAAATGCTAACACTAGTCATCCAATTCAATCTTCTTAGCCTAAAACTGCCTCTCATAACTCACAAACAGTATTTGGAAGCAATTAAAGAGGAGTCTAAGACATCATTGTTTTGTGATGGCTTAGGGATAGAGCAGTTAAATGATTAACAGAACTGAAGAGACTATTTCAGTCCAAACAAGACAGTGTAAACAAGACAGTAAAATACAAGGAAGACTGGAAACTGACACAGGCGTCATTCCAGAAAACAAAAACTGCCCAAAAGATGCTAAAATATTAAAACTTGACCCTGTCCCCATGCTGGTCCTTACCTACACGTCTCTCATCTGAACTATGACTGTTAGTCTCCCAGTTCACACAGTAACTCCCAAGTTGCTTAACCATCTTCCTGAGGCACTCCCAGCCTTGTTTCCTTATGAAGAGGGTCAGGGAAGAACTTTCTACCAGGACTCCAACCTTTCCTCAGTTCAGGAAGGCCAGTTTAGTTCTTTAAGTGTTCATGTGCTTGTTGCAGTTCAGTCAAACATCAAGCACAGACTTACTGTTTTTGCATGAATACCCATGCACCAACCTTCACTGAGTGTTTTGAAACCTCTCTGCTATGCATGGATTTTTGTGTGTTAAGTCCTTGTGGAAAGCTGTTTTTATGGCAAGGCAGTGCATGGATGTTTCTGTATCAACTTATTTTAATGAAGGAGGGAAGTGTGGAAGGCACCTGAGACAAGCTGCATGTGAAGGTCAGATTCATTGAACTTTCTCTTAGGTTTCATTGAAGTTGTTTTACACTTCTGCACAAAAACTTAAAAACTGCAGGAAACACACCACCTTATCCTCCCCATAGCAACTGACAGAATCAGGGTCCAGGTGCTGAGGAATGTGCTTCTGTGGAGGGACCTCCTCCAGCATTGCAGTGCTGGGAACATAGCACACGGCAGAAATCATCCTCTGTGCTCTCCATACACTTCACCTGCTCAGCTCTGCCTGATTTAAACGAGACTTTTGAAGTGTTTAGGAAGCAAGTAATATGAAACTTTTTTTGGCTCTAAAAGCCATTAAGGTATTTAAATAGGGTTTTTTTAAAGTATACTATCACAGAAAAATTCACAGAATCAGAGGGGCAAGGCTGAACTACTCTCACTTCTCAATTTTTTTCTCCCAATATCTGAGAGCATTTCACATGTTCTGAACTCAGCAAGACTTTACTTCTAGGCAAAGGCAAGAAACTTATCTGGCAGGTTTTCCAACCATAGTCCCAAACAAACAGTTCACCACAAGGTTGTAGTTTATTGGCAGGGCACTCTCAAGGGACTTTGACCACCACAGCACCACATTTTTTAAGAGTTCTAGGGATATCAACACTGAGCTTTGTAAGTGTGCTGATTTTTTTTAAAACTCTCCCCATCAAAAAAGAAAGTCTAACTGCACTTTTTTAATGTGACTTTGATTTTAACATCATAATGGTTAATCTTAAAAGTTTATTTTTAAAATGGTCAATTATTACACTTGTCAGTGAAAGCACACAATTACTTCAGCTGATGTCCATGAATGTTATCATCCTCAGAAAGAAGGACTCAGCAAGCTGAGATTTACTGACAAACAGGCAGGCATGTGTCTCTGTGAGTCAAGCAATTGTGATGCAATTAGAACTTAACCTTGGCCAACCTTACAAACTCATTATGAAGAATGGTACAAAGCTAATAACAGAGACAACAGATCCAAAGAGTACTCCATGAATCTAAAGCGGATGGAGCTTCCCGTTTCTTGCATCATTTCAACCAAAACAGACAAGTCCAACTCCAAGACAAGCTGCCTGTTTGCTCTCCTCTAATACCTCATTTATTTTGCTATGTCTATGGATCAATTTTGCTACAGCAGTTAAAGCAGGAATTGTTACTTTTGGCTTTTCCAGTTGAGTTGTAAGACCCAGAAGTTTAATAAATGACACTGAAAACTGCATACCTAATTGGATCTCCTCTTCTCTACACCAATTTCTTTAACAAGCCAATTACTACCACATAAACTTCAGACATTCTTAAAACAACTGAACACACTCTTAATGATGCCAGCAGTCTTAGAGAAATAACTGTACTGTAGTTATTTTGGAGCTGACTGCTACAGAGCATGTTATATTCACATCATAAAGAAAAAAAAAAGAAACCCTCACACAGAGCTACATATGAAAATGCTATTTTTACCAGAGGAAAAAAATTCCAAAAAATGTTTTTGGGTTAAAGTGTGTTCTTTTTAGACACATTCCATTTTCACACTTTGCTGCCAATTTTAAAAATGAACTTGGAAACTCGAGAAATAAAGAATCTATTCCGCTGATTGTCAGAAAGATGGATCACATAGCCAAAACTGGTGCTGATCAGGGGTTTGTTCAGCTAAGTGATGTGGGCATATAAAAAAATACCAATGTGAAAAAATAAAACCGAATAGCAAATTTCATTTGGAGATGGCACAGGGTATATCGATTTCTTTGTCTTTGATTAGCCTGATTTAAAAGAGAAGAAAAAGCCCATGCCCCCCCTTGTGAAAGCCCAAATGATGGGAGTATTTAAGGCTTTGTGAGGTTTTTTTTTGCTTATAGCAATACATGAATTTAAAAAAAAACAAAACAGTTTAAGAGCATCTCAATGCAGACTGATTACTGCAATCATCTTTTTCTGTACTCAGCTCTAGTTCCAAAATTGCATTGGTTGATTTTCCCAAATCTATCAATGACTGTTGGTATCTGAAATATCTTCAGATAGGCCAACAACTCATAAGACTCAAAATTAGCCTGTTTTAACTGAAACCCAATCACTGGTACCCATAAATGCTTTGGTTATAGGCTTTCCTCCTTATTTCTTTGCCCTGAGTACCTTGCTGGAAAGAAACTGCCCCGGTTGTGGGAGAAGGGTTGGGGCAGACAGGGAGGCATATTACTGCTTTAGCAATGGCCATGTGAAGATGCTGAAGTATGACAAATTTTTAATGAATAACATTTTCTTATCATTTAGAAAGGGGAAAAAAAAAAGCAAGCTTGGATTGTATTCTGATTTGTGTTCCTGTGCTAACGTCTTTTTTCCAAGGCAAAACGTTGGGCCCATTGGAAAAAGACTGACTGGAAAAAAAACAGTTCAGCTCATCATAAGCCACTCTGTTAGCTCCCAGTCTCTAGAAAATTCCAGTAATGTTACATTGGAATTGGTGGGCTTACACCTATGTCTCAATTTTTATGCATATCTTTCATATACATGCAGTAACCATGCATGTAGGAAGTTCGAAAATACCAGTGGAATTACTAGGAACTGCTAAAGTTTTCCTCTGTGCAATCTGTGCTGGAGTGGCCCAAGCCCACAAGCCTGCTAGGAATAAATTGGCACAAAACAAATCACTCACATGTCTTGACCACCCAATCTGATATACATTACTAAAGTTAACCTATACTAAAGTTTACTGGTTACTGAAGTTCCAACCTTTTTCTCCTTGTGATGACAATAATCAATCATATAGTCTTTAATCAGGTGTAGTGAGCACCAGTTAAGGGTGTCTGCTTAAGCAAAGAGGATGTTTCCTCAAAGTAACTTCTGCCTTGTCATTTCCAGAAACTCAGACAGTTATTCAAAAGGAAATAAACTTTTTCAGTATACTACTTCTCAGTAAACTCATGACAAGTTGAACAATGCCATTTTGTTGCCAACGAAAATGTGCATGTCCTTCATGAAACTGGTGCTAAAAGAACTCACTTAGTATGGAGGTCTTACCAGCAACAGCAGTAATGCACTATGTTAGCATAATGTTATATATATATGACTTTTCTCCTCTGTCAAGCTGGCAGCTTAGTAAGATGTCAAAAATATGCACAGACAGGCTTAGCATCTTGAATCCCTTCTCTTACAGCCACCAAAAATCCAATCTCTGAAATAACGAGACGTTTCAGATCCTAGCTACATAGTGAACGTCCCACCAGAAAACCTTCACTGGTGGTAGCAGCTGCCCCCAAAACAGCCCAAGGGAAGGAAGGCAGTACACTATCTTCTATTTCCAGACCACAACTGAAACAGCAAATCCAGGAATACTGTACTGACCAAGGTTTGCAGCAGCATTACAAGAGGGACGAGAATATGGTTTCAGATCCCTTCGGTCAGCTTGGTTCTCAGTTCTTACTGCTACCTGTACAGAGGAGTGATGGGAGCTGTTGGTTAGGACTTTGCAGATGTTCACTGGAATGTGGTGGGGCGATGATTTAGGGACCCAGAGCATGCAACTGTGAGTTTGAGTGGTTTGGCTCAGCCAGTCACTCCCACAGGGGATTACGTGAGCCCCAGTGGGGAAGCAGCAGTGGGGAGCTGGTGCTGAAGCAATGAAGCATGAGTCAAGTGGGTGAAACGGTCTGTTCTGGTATTTTAAATGAGTAGAGGCTGCTGTTTGTGAGGAGCTGTGTGCACAGACTGCAAACAGTCTCTATCACAGTTGGAAATATGGTGATTCATTGTGGTCAATGTGTTTCTACCATCACTTATTTTTTCCTTCTGATTTTTGGTCCTCCTTATTTCACCAGGCTTTTTGTTTCCTGTTTCTTCCTGGGCTTTGACAGTCCATGGCAGACAGTCATGTCATCTTCCTTATTCCTATACTCATGGCATGTGGAAGAAATCCAGTCCCCTGAGTATTGTTTGTTTCTCTTTTTCATCTGCCGAGCATAGGTAACCTGGTTTTGTGTCTTGTGTAGATAGCCTGTGAAAGGCTTGCAGCTGCTGGGTAGTAGTTGCAGGTCCTAGGAGGCTGCCTGTCACTGGACTCCTTCTCTTCCTCCTGCTAGGCAGGCTGTGCATCTGTGGGTCAGAGCAGAATAATCAGGATTTGAAACAGGTTCAAAGGAAACTTGGAACATAAAACTTGGCAACATCAGCCAGGCAATTGGTGCTAGAATCTGACTAACTCCATTCTCTCGGGCGCTCTGCCAGTCTCTGCTGTGGCCTTTGCATATTTTCAGCCATAGACAAGTTCAAATACTAAAAAATATTTTGCAGTCTGTCTCCATAAGCAGCTGAAAGATTGTGTGTAGCCCTTTATTTCAGGACTTTAAAACATGGCAAGCACAACCTCTTTATTCCCCCAGTATCTGCAGAGGGCATTTCAGAGGTTCTGAACTCAGGAGGGCTCTACATCCAAGCAAAGGCAAAAAATTTATCTGGATGTTTTTCCAACCGTTGTCACAAACACCTCCTTTCAATAAGAAGTTCCACATAGAAAATCCAGTTATGTCTTTCACCTGGAAATTTGATAGTTATATTTTAAATTTTCTTAAAATCTATCCTAGCTTAAAATATTGGATGACTAGAAAATAACTTTTTATCCAGCTGGCAAAGCCAAAAACTTTGACCAGCACTGGCAGAAAAACAAGGCACCAACTAGAAGGGCAGCTCTGGGGGCTGAAGAAACATACCAAGCAAGGAAATATGAGAGCCAAGTGTACAAATGGCCCAAAGTTTAAAACACTGACTCAATAATGCAGCCTCAAATGTAAACATATTGAGGAAATGACCAATCGCTATCAGTGAATTAAATTAACTTGAATGCATGGATTCAGTCTATAAAATTAGCAACAGCTTATCCCTGGCACAGAGTTGCCATGGCTAGTGAGCCATTACTGTAAACATTTATTATGACCATAACACGGAACAAAGGTAAATAGCACAGGGCTCTCATATCAGTGGTGGAATAAGAGATATGATGGTCAAAACAAAATGTAGTGCTTGGGAGGCACATAAAGCTGGTGAATATAGCTGGCAGTCTGTTAAAGGATAATAGGAGGGGGCATTTGTTTTTACCAGATGGCTCTTGTACCTACTCAGGCAGGAACTGAAGTAGTTGAATTGTATTGTATTGTGTTTTACTGTATTGTATAGTATTCTATATGCTGAACAGCAGCACATGTTGCTCTTGAGATACTAAGAGCCTGGTAATGAATGCTGCCTCACTTTCAGGCCACTCTGTGATTTCACAGCAATTCAGGATATTGCCATTACATATACATTTCCCATCTTTCTGTGACAGAATGACCTGTTACTGCTGGTCATCCAATTCAGCACTACTGCCTCCTCAGACAATGCATGCCTCCACAGGCTGTCCCACTACCTCCTCCCTCCCACCTCTTGGAGTTCTCGGGTTTTAGAATTTTACCTGCTGAATGCAATGCACTCTCTGCTTGTTCCTCCAGCATCTCCTATTCCTTGCTGCTGAGGTCCAGAGGTTTCGGCTCTGTAGAATGAGCCAGAAGGTATGGAGAATCTGGTGCAGTTCTTGGAGAGGATGAAGATATAAGTCTTCCAAGTCCCATGGCTTTTCATTGTTGTGGCTGATGCTTGAGTTGATATCCCGTTCTCTCCAGGCTCTCAGAAACTGGCAAATCCTGTGGCTGCCTTACTTTTTATGTTGAGTTCATGTCTGCTTGTGCGTTTGCTTTGTTCCAGAGTACACTCAGAGAGCTGGTCTTAGTTTGGTATAAAGTGTTCTTAGTAACTATTTCCTCACTTACAGATTAATTATTCAACAGAAGTGGATGATGACTAGCAGTAGTAAAGAGTAATAACTGATATTTTAATGAGGATTCTGGCACCTACTTGCTTACAGTTTTGTACTGTGAGAGTAGCAAAGGGATGGGTAGAGATGGAATATACCACCAATGCCACTGAGAACTGACAAACAGTCCTACCAAGCACACCCCAAGTCCTGCCAAACCCATTCCAGGAAATACTGCTAGCTGATCATCACTGCCTAACAGCAATACTGAGCTGTCAGTTTCAGGCAACCTGTCAACCTTGCCAGCATTCTGGTCACACACCCGACTGAAAGAGATCAGCAGCATGTTTTGCTGCCAGGGAGGAGAGCCCTGTGGGTGGAATTTGCTCCTTAACAACCTGCTTAAAAAGTAATAAAAATTGTGTGGATGGGCATGATACCTGCCCAAGAGATTTAATCTCTTTTGCATCTCCTGTTGCACTTACAAATGAAATATTAAGCCTACAGATGAATCAGACTGAAGAACAGGATAGGGAAGCAAATTAAAAGACATATTAACTAGACGGGAAGTGACCTTACCTATTAAGGTATGAAATATAGCAGCTACAGCGCCAGCCACAACCATGCACAAAACTGCTTTGGTCCTGTCTCGCTTGCTGTTCACAAACACCAGACCTACATTTTTGAAGTCACTCATAGGACCCGTGAAGAACTTCATCAGGGAGTATGCCAGCCCATAGCTGGCCAACATTTCCACAGCATCTTCCTTGACAGCAGCGATGCCCCTATTCAAGGCCTGTTGAAACACAGAAAGAGCAAATAATGTAGCGCGTGTGGAAGTGTACCAAACACAATCTGCTGCATCTGGTTTCTGAAGGAACAAGCAAGTTCAGCTGCCATTGTTTTCACCCTCAGCTGAACTTTATTTCTCTGAATTTGGCAGCAGTAATTTGTGACTTGTGACACAGGCAAAATAATTTCATATAGACAGTAAATTCAAATCAAGTACACTTGAAGATAAGGTAAGTATTTATTTCTAAAGCATATAATGGAATTCCTGCTATACCAGAAGTCAGAATATTTTCTTTTTAGACTAATTTTATGACCTGCTAATAACCATGGATGACACAGGATCACTGAAACACTGCTTTGAGGTCTCAGCCCTGACATGAACAAAGCACAGTCCTTGCACACCACTTTTACAGGGAAAATCTCTGACATTATTATTGCTCAAAGTTGGGGAGCTCAAAGGTTTTTTCAGTGTGATGAGCTTTTCACAACATCCCATGTAATTGTTGTAAATAGCTGATATTAGTCTACAATTTTTATCATGAAATGAGGCCAAATATGCACCTAATTAAACATAACTGGTCTCCTTTCATGCACTTAACAAGGTTCTGATTCAATATTAATTTATATCTCCACGTACAGCACATGTCTTTCGAGACATATTCAGGTACAACTAACCTACTAATTCATTCTAGGACCGTATTTAGGAAATATCTGCCAATGAATCACTGAGAATTAGGTATACTGTTTTTATAATTGAGGTGAACCATGTAAAAAATGTGTAACATTCCTTCAGATTCCAGCTTGAACCAAAATGCTTCTAAAATATTGAATAAAAATGACAGAATGATAAATTTTATCTGCAGCGTGACAGCATCAATCATCTGGTACAGCCAGCAAACTGTTAAAACAAGATTAGATTCATAAAGCATGAAGGATGAAATATGACTTGTTTTCACAAGTATTTAGCTCCTTTGGGTTACAGCTGATGTGTGCTGACAGGGCCATGGCAATGAGGCCAAACAGGAACATCTCGCCAACCCACCCTCCAGTCCATCCACTCACACAGCAGTTTTAATACCACTTTTTCTGAATTAATAAACCAGGTAGAATATCATTAGGTAATCATGGTGAAGTCCTTCAATTTCGAATGTAAGCACAGGTTTTTTGTTGTAGTCTTTTGACTGTTTTTCTCTTCCAAAGAAGGGAAGCAACTCCCATACAAACAAGCAACTCCCATTGACTTCCAAAGAAACCGTATCCCCAAAGCAGAAATGATCATTTTTCCTACTGTTCTTTTCCACTCTTTCTGTGAGACACACTTAATTTTTGAAACTAAAGCTGAACTGTCAACATAGCAAAAAGCTGTAGAAAATATCAACTTCTCCATCCTTGATATCTGCCAAATCTCCTTCTTGCAATGTGCTCTGACCTGAATGCCTGAGGCTCCAAATGTTTTCATCTGTCTTGTTCCAGTTTATTCCTTCCTGGAAACACCATGTGTTAGTATGGAATATCTGAAGCTGCTATATGCAACCTTTCCTGGGATATAGATAATTCCATCTATTTTATTTGTAAGAGTTCAAATTACATTTAACCTGCAGATGCTAAAACCATTTGTGGGTGCACAAAACTGTATTCAAACAATTTCTGGAAAAGACCGTGGCCTCTGAAACGAATGCTCAAGTTTACCTGTCTTTTGTGATGATGCTTGTGATGTTGTAATCAATACTGATATTATAATCTTTTAATTTCCTAAAGATGCTGAATCTCCCAGATGTTGTTGCCCATAATACGCAAATAGCCTTAGATTATGCCAAATAGAAGGTTCCTTGATCGTGGCTCTTCCCCTCTCTTTTCTTCTGTCAACAGTGAAATATTTCTGGCAGCTTCAATTTAAAGAGAAACAGCTACCCAATTTCAGGCAGTCTCGTTTAAAAGCTTCTTGTCACATGTAAACAGCTGAATTACTTCCAGTACAGTTTCACAGCCACAAGAGCTTCCTTCCTGCTTTGTACAACTACAGAATAACAGAGCCTATGGAGGATGGTAATCCACTTCTGACAAGGTCATGGGATAAACATGGCTTTAAGAAATCACGGTCTGTCAAGAGGCATGGCACTATGATCCCTCTGCAGAGAGACAAATCTTTGCTGAGCACAGACGTCATGCCAGTGAAAACAACTCCATATGACTTTGGCCCCGAGGTAACTAAGTTTTCCCACCTAAGTAGGACAGACAGAAAGACTTGAGCACTCATCTTCCTCTCTGGTTTTACTGATCTCTTTTGTATGAACAAATGACAGCCAAGCAGATAACTTCTGAGTAATCCTCCCTGGAGACACCCTGTGTATCAGGTAAGGTAAACTGGCAAAATCCAAAAGAGGCTTTTGTAAGAGGTATGTTGCCATTAATTTATACTCCTGTGGAATGCCTGGCTGACATGATGAAATACTCTAGAGGCTAGCCCTGAAAAAGCAATCCTCCTAAATGCTTCTTTGGAAAGATCCTTAGGAAATGAACAGTCAATAGGGCTGTGTACAGATCATTAAGCTTCTGCAGCCTTTTCCTTTTTCACTTTTAGATGACAATACAATTCATCCTCAACTTCCAAACTCTATACGAAAACTTGCGTAGCCTCTCTATCTCATGTACCTTAGCATACTTTTGCTGCTGAAGCTGCTGATGTCATATTTGATATCTTTAAATCCAAAAGAAATCCCAGATAATTGATAAAGCTACTTTGGAGTGCAATATGAAAGACACAGGCACTTGACCTTTCATGGCATGCCAGCCAAGGAGCTGGTAAACTTCCAGTCTAATTTCACGTTAGATTTCCAATTAAATCTGTCATAAAGGAAGCCTATAAACCAGGCCAAGGTCTTGATATTTTAATCTGGCTTTATTTTGCACATTTACTGTGTGAACAAAAATCAATAACAAAAGTTCATCAGTAGCATCTGTACTAGAGTGTACCTCTACAAAGCTCTGCGTAGCTTGTCAATGAAACCACACAGAACTAGGTAGTAATAATATTAATGACAATACTTAATACAGGATGTTAGATCATACATATTTCAGATGTCATCCTACTTTGAGGTGGCTTATTCACACAAGATTTGATGGGAGAACTAGGAAATCCAGATGCTAGAAGACAGACCATTGGTGACATCACCTTCTCCTGAGTTCTTAATGAATCACTAACCTAATGGAGTGGTAGGTGAAAATGTCACAGTAAAGTGCATTTCAACAAAAGGGATTAAAACAAAGCCACAGATAATGCTGACTCTTCTTTTAGAAATAACAGAAAAGAAATATAGAATGCTTCCAGGCTGAGCACAATCTGGTAGGCACATGGACAGGTTAATTGAAGTAAGTCCTATTTCTAAAATACTTCTCAAAAAAAGCATAATGGATGAATGCAACAAACTTTTGCAAGCAAAAGCAGTGATTTAAAAAGCAAAAATTGTGAGAAAAATGTCAAAGGTCTAACTTATCCTATTTTGCATGAGCTTTCAGCACTATTCACTAATGTTGGCAGAAAAGGTTTGGTTTGAATCTACAGACACAAACCTTTGTTGCCAAAACCCCAAACTCTGTAGAGTTTGACCATTACTTACACAACCCTCCTCTCCCAGAGACGACTGGATACCTGATGTTTTACTTTGTATTGACTTAGACATATAAAAACATTTTAAAAATCCACTGAGAAAGCAACACCTATTGTATAAGTTTTCCTCTGCTTTTAAAACTGTTTTATTGCCTACATACTGCATAGATTTTCAATAGTCTGTATCTAACTAGAAGGGCACATTTTCTACTTCAAGTTAACTACTGACTGTGCAGTCAGTACTTGACAAGTGCAAGTGTTTCAAAGAAGAGCAAATAAAATCCAAGACATGGAATTCTTGTTAATCTTCAATTTTGCTTATCCTGGAAAAGCAGACTGTGACCTAGTGGACTCTGGTATGTTCCTATGGCTTGTTTGAAGCTGGGATTCTGCCTGAGATGTTTTCAAATCTGTTCAGGCTAGTTATCTACCTAAGGGTGACATCAAAAGCCTGCTCAGTTTGGCAGTATCTTAGCCAAATGTATGTTTGGTTCAGCAACCATTTGTAACGTGTTACCCTTCCCCCTACACCTTTCTTCCTACCTGCTCTCCCCTAAGATAATGGAAGAGACCCAAAGCATCCTGTTAAAGAGCAAGCCGACATAGGGGACTGTCTTACTCCTGCGTCAAATAATCTCTCTCCTGATGACTGTTGGCTAAATCCTGTCACATTGAAATCAAATGTACCAGCTGGCTCTGGCTGTTCTGTCTCCTGCTGTCACTGCTGCAGGAACTGCCCTGCCAGAAGGACACCTGACAGATCTGATGCTCTGTAAGCACGACATAATTGGACTACTGTGTAGGTGCTACCTGAGCATTATCCATCTGCATCTCTGCTTCTGGATGGGTTTCTCATAAAGGCAGGAGCCCCTGACAAGCAATTTGAGATAAACAGTTAGTGTTCTGGCACAGGTCTGTGTTAAGACTTCCAGACATACACAGAAGTGGGAGAAAACCAGGAAGAAATAATGGATACACATTTATCTGGCTCAAGAAGATTGTCCAAATATACTGTGTGAAAAGAGTGCCCTGTCAGGGTAGAGGGAGTCAGACCTTGTAGCCTGAAAATGATGACAGACAAGTGTTCACTGTTTTTGGGCCTTTTTTTTTTTTTGTTTGGGGTTTGTTCTGTTTTGTTCTGCAATGCTTTTACCCTAATCCAGTACCACTAATTTTGGGTCAGCATCTGTTGTAGCTCATGTGTCAGGTGACTGAAATGCCATCTAAGGTCAGTTCCTACTAGCCCACTGTTAAAATACTTTATTTTCCCCCTGCTCTGTTACTAAAGCTGGCTGTGAGGGAACAGCCAGTCACCCCTGCCTACAGCACTGCAAGTGTTGACATTGGTTCAACCCACAGAAGTAACCCCAGTCCCCAGCAAGAGACCAGAGCTCCAAACCCCCATCTGAAGGAAGATAAGATGCCTGTCCTGAGAGAGGAACACCTAGACATCCTCGTGGTATGTAGCCTACCTCTGGAGAGGCTGCCCTTGGAATAGCATTAAGACTGCCCTGAAAATGAGATAGTCACTTGCTGCTTTCTAATTCAAAATGCAGGGCAGGTGTCACGTTTTATCTCTAAGAAAAGCTAGTGTGCAAAAAATTTCAACCCAATTTACTCTGCCCGCTTAAGTAATGACACCATGGCCTAGAAGAAAGCTCATGTTCCCTGTGAAGCAAAAAACAAGCTATGAAAACTAGAATGCTATCGGTAGCAATTTTTCCCCATTCATCTTCCTGAGCAGCAATGAAAAGCAAGAATTAGTATTTTTGCAAGGTTCCTACTCTAATGGAAATGCCTGTTACACTGTGACCATGATCAGGATCTCAGTTTTACTTGTTGACACTATCCACTCATTATCCAAGAAATTCTCTAAATCCAAAATAATGTAATTTAAGAGCACTTGGAGCTTTCACTTGACCTGGGATGCATCGGGGAACAACACTTTTTAACAGGCACAGCCAGGAGATGTAGGAATAACTAGGGCAGCAGTGGCAACAGTGGTCAGTGAAAATGGAATATCCTTCTCACTGCAGGAGCTACGACAGAGGAGGACCTGCCTGGGAGCGGAGGAGCAGCTACGGCACACTACCCTAAGGCACCTATTGTATGTGTGATTCATGAACAACCTGCACAGCAAGGCAGAGAATAATACAAAAGACACAGAAGACTGCAGAAGATAATGGTGCAGAACCACAGGAAAGAAACGAGACTCAGTGAAGCCAACATGTGCTTCATTTTAAACTACATTTGACAAAGTGACAGAAAATTTGTGACAGGGAACAATCTTGGAGAGGTGGAACAGTTTTTGCAGATGGTTGCTTCCCTGTGGGATGTGGAGAACACTGATCCTGAAGCCAAGAATGCTAGGGAAGCCCTTCAGGACACACACCCTGTGTATTGAACAAGGATGCCCAACACCTGCATGAAGGAGACCTAATGCACTGCCATTTCCATTGATGTCTGTGGAGAAACATGCCTCCTGAGGTGAGACTATGAGCGTTAACCTTTCTTGGCCTTTCTTAGGCAACCAGTGCTTCTAAGGGAACAAGACAAAAGCAAAATCAACATGTCAGAGATATTCCTCTGCATTATGACTTTTCCTGGTATCCTCTGGCTGATGCTAATCAACTGTCCAGCATGTATTCAGAATGAAACATGCAAGGGAATGCTTTGCTCCCAGAGCAGTGTGCAAGCTTTTCATTCAGGTTTCCCTGGAGCTCATTCGCAAAGGTGACAAGCAGACTCTGGGCTGAAGTTAATTTATCTTCAGATCTTCTTCACGCAGATGCCAAAGACTCATTTACCTCTCCAAAGCTATTTCTGTTTCTAAGTCTATGAGCATAGACGAATAAAATTGAGACATAAATTGAGACACATAAAGCTAGGAGAAGGTTGGTTCCCTGTCCCTTCAAAATGCCCAGTGGAATAGATATCATTTCTTCACCAAATTCCATTTTGATTACTTTTAAGTGCTGGAAAACACTGGGGAGGATACAAATGCATATCAAATGTATCTGCACACAAAGAATATTTGCCTTAATCGCAAGTGATACAGTATCTGCAGAAGTGCTTCTTCTTTTGTTTTTAATTTTCCACAGAAATAGGCTCTGTTCTCTTCCTTACATTATATCCCTGAAGTAAAAAGTAAGCTGATTTACTATCAGTTGCACATTTCATAAAATCACATTTTCTCATGTTTATAAATTAAATCTCTGCAAGGACTGTTATAAGACTTGTTTGTATGCACACAGCAAATCTAATCTATACAGGTCCCATACCTGTCAGTCTCTCACAGCTCTGGCATATTGCCTTTTTATTAGCATTAACTCAGTCTTTGCTGAAATATTGCTCATAGCTTTCTTATCCTGAAATGGAAATTGCCACTTTCTCCATGATCACACCTTCTCACTAGGCTCCAAAGCCCATGGACAAGTTCAGGTTGGAAGGGGCCCTTGTGCACGAGCTTAGAGCACTGCCCCAGGCTGAACATCTGGGAGATGTTGTAGAGGAGACCCCACACCTTCCCTAGACAATCACCTTAAGAGGCCACCCTCACCCTGAACCTTAAAATGTCACCAAAACTGACATCTGAACATTCACATCTGTCTCTCTTGCACATTAAAACAAACCCTCCTGGCAGGGAAGAGCATCAGCCTGACTCCATTTCCCACATTTCCCCTTCCTTTCCTGGAAGATCTCTTGTTTCATCACTCAGTACCACTTCTCACTTTCACCAAAGATCTTGTCCTTGACAACAACTCACCCATAGTTTTACCTCATGGCAAGCAATGAGTTAGTTCCATTTGCCTTCTAATTTTCACCCTTCCTGTTCAGTATTTTTCAGTAGTTTAGATGTTGTGTTTGTTTCTTTTGTGTTTCTAAGGTCAGGCCTTGCATATGAAGCTCGACTTCTGCTTTCTCATGTTTTCACATATTATAAGTAGTTCCCTTAAGTGGCATTTTTTCACATCAGGTCAACTGACATAATTACAAGATCCTGTATGTACAGTAAATCCAATTGCCCTCCCCCAAATATGCAAAGACTCAAATTGAAAAAAAAATTATCCAAATACTTTAACAGATCTGCAAAAGTACTTTTGCCAGCTGCAGGAGTAAGGGAAATTAATGAGGTTTGCCCCTGGCTTTATATATTTTTAAAACACTTTCATTTAATTTTTCAAGTTATAACAATCTTAATGCATGCAGTATTTGGTGGAAATTTCTGAAATTTGGCAGAGGCTATCAAAAATGCCTTTAAACCACACCAAAACTTGGCCAAGCATCTGCAAAATATGAATTGCACAGGTTCAGTAAAACTTGTTAAACTACTTTTAGTGCACAGAAATCTTGCCTATATTTCAGCTGTGACAACTGTGCTCCTGGGCATCAAGCTTAAAGCAGTGAAGGTCAAGCACCACAGAGCAGAGACCATACAAGTTCAAGCAACCAGGAGACAAGAGCACTACTTGTATCCTTCACTCAGAGCAAAAGGAAAAGTGTTTCTCTTTCCACGGACTAAAATTGCAGTACCCTACTAAGAATTCTTTCTCTCAGGAATTGTGAGGTGATTTATTCTCCTATTTTGGCTCTTGTGGAAAGGACCCTAGAGACCAGATCTGTAAAATTTACTTCTATTGCTTCAGTTGTCTTATTTCTATATGCTTTCCACTCTTTGTAGTGATTAAGAGACCATGTCCTCCTACTTGGAAGGCAAATAATTGACACTTCCTCTCAGTTCTCTTTACACTTGAATTTAAGAGATGTAATAATTACACCCAACAAACTCTGTGAAAGTCAATAATCAAACTCAAGGCCATCAATACTGCAGCAAAATCTTTTAGTATCATTGCATGTACTATCCTACCACTTCATGGCTGCTCTAGAGATTACCCTACTGATGCTATTGTTAAAAATACTGATTTTGCTACAGCCAGAACTGGAAGTCAGCTGGGAGAGGTGGGTTACTTCACTGGAGTATGGTCATCCAAACAGGTATTTTGGAATTTGGTGCAACAAAGAAGTGGAAGCCTCCCAAGACATATGTCCTACGAGGGGAACTTTCTGTTAAATCAGCAGCCGATTCTTTTGGTAAATAAATTTGTGAGACACTTAGTCGAGTTGTACATGTCCAGGCTTTTCAGACTGCAGAAGATGGTGAAGTTCAGCCTCAGTGACAATGTGCACTAAGAGACTAAGGAGCTTTCAGATAAGGGGCTGTAAGGGAAGACACTTTCCGTGCAAGAGTAGATTTTTTTCAATAAGTCACTTTTAGGTGTGACTAAAGCACAAGTTCATTACTCAAAAGCTGAAAATGCGAGCATTAGAGGGGGCTACCTTTTGCTGTCTGCTTCTTGCTCTCTCCCTCGCCCAGTGTAGTTCAAATTCATCAGTAGCCACCAGCAGACCAAAGTAAGGGTAGCTTACAAACTATGACCCCTCTGCTGCCAGTGTTGGTCCTCACGCCATTCACAGCTCCCTGGAAGTGTCATTACATATGCCTGCTAGGCAAAAGATGTAAAGTGGCCAAGTCTCTGCCATTTAATGAACATTACTTGTACATACTGAAAGGCTAAAGCAAACTAAAGAAATTGTCTGCAAGTTTGGTTCATTCAGCTTGGGTAAATGTTCCCTGACTGCAGACAGGAGATGTAAGGAGCCTGCTGAGCAAATGCACTAAAGTCCTGACTTGTCTAATGAGACTGGGCTTAGAAGAAAGGTAAATAACTGCAGGTCAGTTTTTCATCCTCCTCAGTACTGCACTATGTCAAAAAACCCCAAACAATCTATAAAGTGCATGTCAAAGCTACTCTGATTACAAAAAATACACATAACCACAAAAAATACACATAGCCATCAAAGAAGGCCTCTGTGCCTGACTTCAGAAATGGGAGCTTGCCCAGCTGTCCATGAACATGTAGTACAGCCCTACCTTTCTGTGTACTTAGCGCACTATGCAATTATCTGCTGTCCATTAGCTTACTCTTAAAGCATTTACCTCCCCATGTGGCTCAGCACGGACTCTTATGTTCCAGGGCTTTGCCCAACTTCAGCGGAGCAGAACATATTTGAGGTCTGTGATTTTCATCAGCTGTTGTGTCGGGAGCAGGGAGCATGGCTGGTTAAGGTCTGTCATTAAGCAGCTGTTCCCTCCAGCATGTTGCCTGCTAGGCAAAGCACAGTTAGGGCTACACAAAGCTGAGTTTGTTAGGTGTGAGTGGCTGCGACTGCAAGTGTAGAGCTGCCAAAATAGCTCATGTCTTAATTGCTTAGAGGCGACAAGTAGAGGGCACCCAGATCACCAGACTAAATACAAACTTGCTGTTTCTGCTGCTGGAAACACCCATCGTAAATAAGGCCCTAACAACAGTAAGAAAACGTTTTATTTGTATCTGGTTTTCTTTCTGTTCCATTCTTATGCTTTGTACTAGCTTTATTAGGATGAGATTAAAGTTACTAGTTGGAATTGAAAACAAACTGTGGATAGTGGCAGTGGTTCTATTTCTCTAGAGGTGGTGCAAAACACACTTTGAAGTATTTCCAGTTATTACAGAACTTTTCAATACTTCACTATCTGCAGAAAGCAACACTCTCACTAAACAGGTAATTCTGCCCCTAGAATTTGACCTAATGAATCAGTTTAAAATATATGGGAAGTGGAGGAAGATAGAAAGGAGAACAAGTAGTATTTTTCTAAAGTAAATTTTTCTCTCAAAAATTCTAATCTCCTATATCCTTAGCATAAGTTTTGAGAACCTTGAACTTTTCTCCCAGTTCTTGCAGGTGGTGTTGACAGGATTGGCTAACATTTCCTTTTAAAAATAGCTCGACTGGTTCTCTCAGTATCCAATGACATGAAGTCAACAAGTCAACTCACAATGAAATTATTGCACATGGATTTTTCCAGACAGTGTGTATGAAGCACAGGTAACTAAGAAGTTTCTCTTGAAATCATGCACTCTTTTTGAAACGCCCGGTCTTTCATAAGGGGAAGCACAATAATATTTCTATACAAGCAAGGATGAAAATACCCTTCTGACCTACAGGAGTAGGATGCCATGGGAGAACCTGATTACTGCTGCTTATGTTATCTCATGGCAGCCAGCTCAACTGCTGCTGTTATAATAAATGGCCTTCCATGATAATGGAAATACAGGTAAAATACCAGTTCATTTGAAATGCAATCAGGCTCTGTCCTTACTGGATTCAATAGGAGAGAACTGGAAAATGTATCAATGCTTCAAGCTTTTACTCTGTACCTCTCGGTAACACATAAGTTACAGAGGGAGAAAAAAAAGCATTCTTTCTGAATACACTGGGACACACAAAGCCTAGAGCCAGGAGTTCACTGGAGTAACCTCTAAATGCCTGGCAATAATTAATCCTGTTACATCTTCAGCAAATCCTTGGCTAGTGCTTCTACAGAATTCCTTAAGCAGTACCTAGGCATCCTTCTCCTCAGGGAAGGAGAGGCTTGGAAGCATTTGTGGAGTTGTAGCAAGCCTTGTAACTTTTATTTCTATGCGTCTGGCAGGGGCGGGTCAACCAGAAGTGCAGTCTCAAGTGACTTTGTGAGTGTTCTTCATTATGTCAAATATGTGGTATAATTAGATGTTTCATCTAGTTTCAAAGGTATCTACCTCTGGATTCACAAAATTCAAATTACAGAAAAATATTTTCTTTTAATCTCTTCCAGCCAAAGAGGTGATCAATCACAGTGGATGGATTCCTCCACTAACTGAGGAACTGTAAATGGTGGCACAGTAACTCTTGAATGGGTTCTGTCATCTAGCAGCAGCTCTACTGACACCTTCAGCAAGAGCATATCCACCATACATGAGACAATTGACAGATAAATTCAACGGTCTCTTAGCCTTGTGGCTACATTAACTTAACTCCAAGCTTAGAACTATCTCTACTGACATCCTTTCTCACATTCCTGATGCAACGATCCCTTCTTATGAAAGTGATTCTTTCAATAGCAATGAACATGTTTCTACCATCCTATTCTGTTTAACTCCTTGCCTTGAATTGCATAGTTAAAACTTACTAGCTCATTTTCATTTGTTTAACACAGCTACAAGAGCCTGACTTTTTAAGTTCAGGAAAAACACTGAAGGATTCTCAGAAGCTAAAGTGAAACTGATGCTGAAACATTGTAGTGAAACACGTAGTTTTGCCTAGTATATTCTCTGCCTGAGCCACTGGTTTTAAATAATGGGTCTTCTTACTCTCAGATTTCAAAAGTGGTAAGAAATGCAGTGAAGATAACACTATCTACCACTCTTTCACAGCAGTATTCTACACTGTGCTGAGGTTTTCTGGGAGAACAGCCTCCTGTTAGAAACCCCTCACCCCTAGATGAGTCTTGTTCTGCTTTCTGAGTCATGTACCACTCTATTTCCACAAAGTCAGATGATATGCAATCTTTCTTCTGTCTTCTTCATACCTGAGGTTTTTAGTCCTCTTGCTGATGAGCAGGGCAGTATATAGGCTGTAAAACTTTAATTCAGAACAGCTATAATTCATGTCTGAGTTGCTCTAATATGAAATACAAAATTGGCTTCAGATAGGCATCTTGCCAAGATTCCTATGAAGACAGAAAGAGACGAGTGTCACACTATTGCCGTTGTGGGGATTGAAAAATTGAGCTGGCTTGCCTTGATAGTGTAGAATGGCCTATAAGCTAGTCTGACCCAGTGAATTCTTCACTACATTTTTCTGCCTACAAGAACAATAGAATGCAATTTATCCTTTGCTGAATCTTCAATGCCAAAGGACTAAATATAATACAAACTACAAAAACCCCTACCCCAAAACAACATCCAGAAGAAAAAGCAACTCTAATTTGCAAAACCCTGGATGCATAGGTAATAAAAGGACCAACATTACTATGGACAAGTTGGCAGACTCTGTAACTAACTGTAATTTGCCTTAACAAAACCTGAAAATTTGCAAGGGGGGACACAAACCCAAACACACTATTTGTATGATAATCTACTCAAACTGCCTGCATTCTGTCTGACTGTACTGAAAACTCTAGTAGGGCTTAGCAATAAAGAAGGAAACAAAGGACATTTTTCAGCTCAGCTTCAGTTTCTGAAACTGTGGGTGTAAACAGCTAATGTTGTATTTGCAGGTTCTCAGAACAGTGTAGCACAAGATACTCCAATGGCTTCATCCTTGGGGCTTAACAATAGGATTTAAAAACCTTCTTGCACACATATTCTATCCTCTATCCTGTTTATTCAGCAGCAGGGTTTTTTTTTCTGCCAATAATAATATGCACAGTGGATACTTCCTTTTTAAAACATTATGACAATGGGACTGACACAATGCAGTGGATGCTCTGCTCCTCATCACGGATGAGCAGAGCATCCAGCTTCTGTGCTGGTGATACTCTAGCCCTTAGAGGCTGTTGGGTTTTCTTTGCTCAGGCTTGCAGGGGAGTTGGGCAAAAGCATTAAGTGCTCCCAAAACAGCTTCTGAAATAGACTGCAATGGCATACCACCTCGGGGTAAATGTAACGCTGAAGCTCTTGTAGGGATG